GTGGGATCTCACATCTTCATCTTTATTTTCTCACATTACACGTCTGACGTTTGAGGTGGGCCGTATGTTCATATAACTTTCTAATATAAATCATTCTCAAAGAGGCCATTGAGTATACTACCTATTCCAATCCCACAACTAATACTGACTATATGTCTTTCATCCTCACTTCCACAGCTTAAGATGAACTTGTTAATTCTATCTGTATTATTTCTTCATTGAAAATATGAATGCCTTTAGTTTTCTTCTCATGAACAGGATATTTCTCCTCCTCCAACTGGTAAGTGTTATCCAGTTTATCTCATGGTGGAACAAGTACTGGATGCCTGATGAGAAAATGAAGCAGATGTATGTTCTCTAATAAAGTACAGCAATTCAAAAACCTTGAATTTACCTATGTTTAGCATCAATTTCCACAATATTTCATTCATATTCAACAGCTGCTCGCTTGGATTATTCACGTCGACGATCTTTTACATAGCTTCATTCTGCGGGATCGGTTTGATGTACTTCTTATATGTTCCAAAACTGAGATGTGTTCTCAATATATTCTTCATTTCTTGGACTTTGATTCTCCTCATTGTGATGATGGTTGTGTCTTTACATTCAAAGGTATGCTTTTCAAAATCACCCTTTTTGTTCACACCACAAAATTTCACTCATATTCAGCTAGATTATCACAGCTATGGGAAGTTTTTATTTGAAACTATCTTTGGAACTTTAAAAGTCAGGTCAATAGAGGTCTGTTATCGTCCGGTATCATGGCTTCGTATGTCGTCTTCCTCTGCTGGTCTGCCATTAGAAGGTTTGGGATTCAACATTGTGTTGTGATATAGGCTTTCTGCTTTGAAGTTGTATGATGAACATAAAATTGTGATCTTTCTAATCCTAGCGAGTTTCTTGACAGCGAACCGGCGACCGAGAAATGCAGTGCACAGAAGCAAGGGAGTGGGAATAGTGACTGGATTACTATACTTGTGAGAATTTACAGCTCTTTTTCACTTCTCTAGCTTCCTCTGTTCAAACTTTGAGTCACACCCTGCTCTTTTATTTGACCTCTCTAGCTGATGTTTGTGAGTTTCCTTGGTGTTGTGGTTGTAGAGCTTCTTAATTGCTATCTGTGCAGTTGTCATGGCAACCTTCTCAACTGGTATTGATTCACAATCATTTCAGGTCACTTGCTTTTGACTTTCCATCTTCAAGTGTTTATCTAAAAGTTTTATTAGAACCTAGGATAGAACGTTACGGTTTCGCTTGATAACAATTTTGTTTTGAGGTGGGTAGATATTCTTTTATAATTTATCGATTAACCAACGTTATGCATGTCGAACCCTCCAATTTACGGATATATCAATATATTGACGAATATGTTCGTCCTTGATAACTTTCTTGGTACTACTAATGTGAGATCCCACGTCGGTTAGAGAGCAGAACGAATCATTCCTTTATAAGGGTGTGGAAACCTCTCCCTAGCAGATGTGGTATAAAACCGTAAGGCTGACGGCGATACGTATCGGGCTAAAGCGGACAATATCTGCTAGCGGTGGGCTTGGGTTTGGGTTGTTACAAATGGTATTAAAGCCAGACACCGAGCGATGTGCCAGCGAGGACGCTAGGTCCCCAAGGGGAGTGGATTATGAGATTCCACATCGGTTGGAGAGGGGAACGAATCATTCTTTTATAAGGATGTGGAAACCTCTCCCTCGCAGACGCGTTATAAAATCGTGAGGCTGACGACGATACGTAACGGGCTAAAGCGGACAATATCTCCTAGTGCTAGGCTTGGGCTTGGATTGTTACAAATGGTATTAGAGCCAAATACTGATCGATGTGCCAGCGAGGACACCGGGTCCCCATGGGGGATGGATTATGAGATCCCACATCGGTTGGAGAGGAGAACAAAACATTCTTCATAAGGGTGTAAAAACTTCTTCCTAACAGACGCGTTTTAAAACCATGAGGCTGACAATGATACGTAACGAGCCAAAGTGAACAATATCTGCTAGTAGTGGGCTTGGGCTTGGACTTGGGCTATTACAAATGGTGTCAGGGCCAGACACCGAGCGGTGAGCCAGCTAGGACGCTGGGCCCCCAAGGGGAGTGGATATGAGATCCCACATCGGTTGAAGAAGAAGACGAAACATTCCTTATAAGGGTGTGAAACCCTCTTCTTAACATACGCGTTTTAAAACCGTGAGGTTGACGACAATACATAACGAGCCAAAGTGAACAATATTTACTAGCGGTGGGCTTGAGCTATTACAACTAAAGATCTGCTTTGTTTGAACTAGAATGCATTTTTTCTAGAAATTTGAGCATAAAACAGAAATTTGAGTTTCTGATCCGTTGCAGTTTCGTAAAGACGAGGCGAAAGAGGAAGATGACATACCTTACAAGTATGGTTTTTTCCATATCATATTCTCTCTAGGAGCCATGTACTTTGCAATGCTCTTCATCAGCTGGAACCTCAACAACTCAGCCACAAAGTAAGAAAACTGAAACCATCATTGTTCTTCCTGAAACTCATATATGAGATGTTACTTACGTTGATTGGAGAACGGAACGAAACATTTCTTATAAGGGTGTGGAAACCTCTCCTAATAGACGCGTTTTAAAATTGTGAGGCTGATAGCAATATGTAACAGTTCAAAGCGGACAAGATATGCTATGGTAGAGTTGAGTTGTTACAAATAGTATCAGAGCCAGACACTGGATGGTGTACCAATGAGGTCACTACCCTCCAAGGGGAGTGGATTATGAAATCCCACATTGGTTGGGGAAAGGAACGAAACATTTCTTATAAAGGTGTGGAAACCTCCCCTTAGTAGATGCGTTATAAGATCGTGAGGCTAACGGTGATACGTAACGAGCCAAAGTGGACAATATCTACTAGCGGTGGATTTGGGTTGTTACATCATCTCTCTCTCTAATATTGGAGTGCAAATTAAAACCTGAACAAGTATAAACCAAACCATCCGAACCAAGATCAAACTATGATCATTCGATCAATCGGTTTCGTTTTAAGATTCTCAAAGAAAATGCTTAGTTTGATTTGGCTGGTGTGTGAAGATGGTTATATTTGATTTCGTTTTTAAAGTTGGTCAGTTAGGTCGAACTGGATCGAACTGAACCGTTTATGCCCGTAACTCTCTCGTGATCTATGTGATTCTCATGATCGCTCTTATACAATTGTGAAATGTTTAGGTGGAGCATGGATGTTGGATGGACAAGTACATGGGTTAAAATCATTAATGAATGGCTTGCAGCCTCAATATACTGTAAGTACAATCCTATTCAAAACACACTCTTCTGTGCCAATTTAATGATAGACAGTATAGTATAACAGGTCTAGGAATTGACTTAACAGCTATGATTCGTCAAATAGTGTCGATATCTAGAGATGTTCACGGGATGGAATAGGGATGGAAAAGACTTTTCCATCCACATCCCCGTCGCCTATTTCAATTTCTATGCTCGTAAAGTTCTTCCTTTATCGTTGAAAGGATTAAATTCACCCAATAAATTTTTTTCATCTTTTGTTTTTATTAGAAAAACAATAATAAAAATTCAAAATTACGATGTTACAACACATTTTTCAACAACTCATTAATATAATAATAATAATCGGAGTGGAGACGGGGACGAGAAGTCTAACCCCATCTCATTTAACCAAATGGGAGAAACTCTTCCCGCTCTCTCCTACATTCTCTTCAAGGTGGATCTGCATAGCAGTCTAGACTTCATAGTTAAGATGAACATTTCTATGATATCTATGAGCTTTTTGAGTTTAGTAGCTCATAATTCGCGACTAATCTCACGAGATAATTGCTACATCCGAACTTGATTATTTTCTTATTCTCCGCCATTTGTTTGTGCAGTGTGGACATTAATTTCTCCAGTGGTGAGACAGGCAAAGGTAAGGAATCATGAAGAAGGTGTGCAAGAAGCAAATGGTTCAGCAATTCCTTGACAATGAACTTTTTGTATTCTCATTATTTTGTCCCTAAGTTCCTGTTCTTGTTGTTCTTTATTTTAAGATGAAAATGGTAAAAAGTGTCACAAGATTCAACCAATGCCTTTTCAACTGTACTGATCTCAAGAAACCCATATTTGAAGAGTCGTAAAAGTGAGATACATTTCGTAGATACGTGTATTAGATTATTCATTTATCACTATAATGATTGGTTCTTATTAGGTCAAGGACAACCCGTTGTAGGTTAGCAATCCTCTCCGCACTCTGTGACCTTCCCTTCAAAACTCCCTTTGAAAACTCTCTTGAATCGCACCCATGAACTCTTGAAACAAAAATTCAGTCAACCCGCTGACTGGATTTTTGTTTTTAAAATTATTTAAGTACAATCATCCAAAGAATTATTGTCTAAAACTATTCTTTCCAAAAATTGAAAATTATTTTAAACATCTCACATTCATCGTTCAAATCCAAACGACTTCATTATGTAGAACTGATCAATAAGAGCATTGTTCCGATAGATAACTCTTCTATACAGTTCATTAAAATATCCAAGCTCATTAGTTTATCCCATCTATTTGAATGATCGGTCTCAACACGAAAAAATCATCCAATCGAGTTCAAGAATAGAAAATAAGTAGATATTATTTCCCTGATGACAATGTAGAAGGGAATTCAAAGTGGAACAGATTAAACATATCACTAAAAATCCAACTGCCAAATTATATGCTAATATTTATATCTTATAAGAAGATGTATTTGGTTTGGTTATACCCTCCACAATGAATAACAGCTATCTTCAGGAACCTACCTACTCAACTCAACTATGAAAATTCTGAAAATAATGGCCGAAGCTAATTCCAAGAACTATTTCATCAAAAGCATGCATATCTTCAAGAACAGATCCAACAACTTCACCATTTTTGGTGGTTCATAGCAACTCCAAAATCCAAATTGATCTATGATTTTCAGCTGTGTATAAAGAGTAGAGTTCATACCTCTTTGCAGATCACCACAAGAATTACAATCCTCTGAGTTCTACAAGCAAGAGAAGCTCTGCATACCGACTCTGCAACATGTTCAGGCAATCGTCTTCTCGCGCCTTCATCGCAATGGCGATCATTGTGGTGCATTTTGTGGCGTTTAGGTCTGCAGCTGTCACCGCTAATGCTGGGGGGGAGGAGTCTGTCCTTGAATTTTACATGCATGACATTCTCGGCGGTGGCAGCCCTACAGCGAGACCGATTACTGGCCTACTGGGGAACATATACACTGGTCAAGTACCCTTTGCCACACCTATAGACTTCCTTCCCCCAGACGATGGCATAGCAATTCCAAATGCTAATGGTGCTCTCCCCACTGTTAATGGCAACAATGGGATCCCTCTAGGGACTGGCTTGTCTGGTACTGCTTTTGCTGGAAATCCCAACCCACAAAATCTTCCCCAGACCCAATTGGGACCTGATGGGTTGGGACTAGGCTTTGGAACGATTACCGTCATCGATGACATCTTGACCACAGCACCGGAGTTGGGCTCACAGTTGATTGGCAAGGCACAAGGGGTGTATGTGGCTAGTTCTGCTGATGGGACTACACAGATGATGGCATTTACGGCCATGGTTGAAGGAGGAGAGTATGGTGACAGTCTCAACTTCTATGGAGTATTCAGGATTAATAGCCCCTCATCACATTTGTCTGTGACTGGAGGAACTGGCAAGTTCAAGCACGCACGTGGGATTGCAGAGGTGCGCTCGCTCATTCCTCCTGGCCAGCACGTCGCTGATGGAGCAGAAACATTGCTGCGATTCATTGTCCATCTAAGCTATTGAAAACCAATATGGTGAACAAAGAACAATGCAATTTATGTGAGGTTATGAATGCAATCATGGTCTGTAGTTTCTATCAAATGCAGCAGCAAGTCAAAAAATGTAATCGAGTCTTATAAAATTTAAATATTTCTAAGTTGTAATTCTGTTGTGATCATATCGTGAGTAAACTTTGATGGATTTCATGATAAAATTTACAAGGAAGTAACTCATCAAATGTGATTAATGAAACACCCTAGTGATATAACATACATGATCATGAACACAGTAACGAGCAGCATCAAAAGAACGAAACAAATTTACGAGGATGATCAGAGTTATAGACTTCATCGAAAAGATTCAAAGGGCAAACAGATAAATAAATGAAAAGTTCAGGCTAGCCAACCTTTTCAACATTATTGGACATTGAAGTAATGTACATACTCAACAAGGTTTAAGAGTAGTTACTGTACCATAAATAACAACCCCTCCAAAATTTAATCACAAGCTGGCGATCTTGACTCGTGAGATTACAGCAGCTTCATCGAGCCCATATAGCGAATCAATCAAATGAGTTCGTAGTGATGCAGGGCCCTTCGCTGTTTCCATTCCCATCTCGCCCGCAATTCCAAAGATCGATAACGCTGAAGCTGTTGTTTCCAAAGCATGAAGTTGATCAACAGCAAGGAAGGCAGCAATAAGAGCTGTTACTGAACATCCTGTTGCTGTAATCTTTTGCATCATGGCCACTCCATTATGAGCGCCAATAACTTGCTTCCCGTCTGTAACTATGTCCACGGCTCCTGATACTGCTACTATGGCTCCACTGGTTTGAGCTAATGATTTAGCAGCTTCTACAGCATCAGTTGACTCATGGGAGCTATCCACGCCCTTGAAATCATAATAAAAGTGAGGCGAAGAAGTAAGATCAATTTTGACAACTAAGTTGCTACTTAACTAGTAGAGTAAGAGATATCAAAATTGATTTTGCCGCTTAAAACTCTAGATTCCGTGAAGGATTTCATTATGATTTGCAAAGATGAGCTGATGATCAAAACTTGAAATCTCAAACACTTGGTGGTAAGGGCTTGAAATATTTAGAGATAACACTTTCAAAATTTGGGTTCAAGACTCAAGCCATATAACTTTCAATTTCTCCTAGAGTTGGTCTCAGAGCCGCGGGATGGGTGATAAGCCTAATCTAAGGAATGGGACTTTGATGCTCCGATTATAAAAAGGGAGATTTCGGATCGGAATAAGCTTCCCCTAAAATTGAACTGCTAGACCGATAGATTAAAAGGAATCAAACACAAAGCTCTTCCATGGATGTAACCTAGTTTGCAACTTTGCATGCAGAAGTTCAAAAGCAGAGAAGATGGAACAATCGTACCGAAATTCATTTCCGGTGTGAAATCAAATTGCAACTTACCATACTGAACTCCGTGGAAGCTTTAGACAACGCGATTATTTCCGATCCATTCCCTCTAACAACGGTGGGCTTCAACTGCATAAGCTCCAAACAAGCCATCATCCGAAACTTAGAAGCTCCGGCAGCAACCGGATCGAGAACCCAAGGCTTCCCGGCCTTCAACGCCAGTTCAGCGGCAAACTTCATGGCAGGCAACCAGGCAGCGGAAAGCGTGCCGACGTTAATACAAAGAGCATCGACGTTGGGAGTGAAATCCGGCAACTCCTCGAGAGAATGAAGCATGGCCGGGGATGCACCAGCAGACAAAAGAGTATTTGCCACCAAATCCATCGAAACAAAGTTGGTGATGCATTGGATGAGCGGCGATCGGCTACGAACGGCGGCGAGTGTAGACCACGTTCTGGCTCCCCATTGCCGTCGCTGCTCTTCGTCTTCTATTTGCTTCGAATTCATCGCTCTCTCAACAAGCTCAAAACTCGCCTGAAATTTATGGATATAAGATATTTATTAATTTATTATAATTAATTTATTCATTTATTTTTATTAAAATTGGGCAAAAATTCTCCACGAAAAAAAAATATATAATTTTTGTTTTTTTTTAAAAAAAATATATAATTTTTGTTTTTTTAAAAAAAAAAATATCTTTATGATAAACTTTTTTAAATAATTTTTATTAAAAAAAATATAATATAATTTTTAAACCATCAAATATTAATATTATAACATAATCTTTTTTAGTTAATTTACTTTTTTAACCTTCTCATATTTTAATTTCTTATTAATAAATCAAAATTAAATATTTATATTAGTACATCCCCATACATTATTTTAAAAATAGAATTCAAATATTCTTAAATTTTTTCGATTTAAATAATTTTTATTAAATAATGAACCAATTAAAATATATATTTACTTATTTTTAAATATTAAATTAAAATTCTTGACTTAATTTTAATATATATTTTAAAATTGTAATAATTAGAGTGTATATATATATATATATATTAACAAATGAATGAGGTGAGGCACTAAGAATTATTCAAATCAAATTATGTAGTGATCTATTTTTAATTTTTTTTTTTAATTTTCAAAACGAAAACAAATTAATAATTTTTATTTATTTATTTATTTTGTTGGGGAGGTGAATTGAGAGGAAGGAACAATGGCGGTCACTACATCACCATCAGCTTCACCAAGAAACAAATCAAAGCCAAAGAAACAAATCACCACCACCACTTCCACTTTTTCTCGCCCCAAAAAAATGCAGGCCCCGCCGGCGTCACCCGCCGCCGCCCCCTCTCCCGCTGCCGTCGCCCTCAAAGACTCCAAAACCACTCTCTCCATCATCCTCGCCACTGCCCTCTTCTCCCTCATTTTCTTTCTCTCCATCTCCTCCTCCTCCCGCCGCTCCCCCTTCTCCGCCTCTGCCGTCCTCCACCACCCCAAACCCGACCCATTTCTCTTCCCGACTCGTCAGACTCACCGGACCGTCTTCCGTAGCAGCAATGCTTCCTCCGATCCCACTCCTCCTTCTATTGCTTATCTCATTTCCGGATCCAATGGCGATTCCAATCGGATTCTTCGGCTGCTTTTCGCTGTTTATCACCCTAGAAACCACTATCTGCTTCATCTCGATCTCTCCGCTCCTCAATCCGAGCGCGACTCTCTTGCCGTCGCCGTCGAAGCGATTCCCATCTTCAGAGCTGCTCAGAATGTCGATGTAATCGGTAGAGCCGATTTCGTGTATCTCAAAGGTTCGTCGACAATTTCTTCGACGCTTCACGGTGCCTCGCTGCTCCTCCGGTTGTCGCCGAATTGGGATTGGTTTATTCGTCTCACTGCCGATGATTACCCACTTGTCACACAAGATGGTATGTTTTCCGGAAATCTTCGTTTTAGATGGAAGTTTTCTTGATTCAGAATTTTGTTGATTGAGTGATCTTCTTTGTGTTCTTTAGATCTTCTTCACATTCTGTCATTTCTGCCTAAGGATATGAACTTCGTAACGCATTCGAGTTACATTGGGTGGAGAGAGTAAGATGATCACTCTTTCACAGACTCCAAAACCATTTTACTTTCCAATTTCTTCGTTCTGAGCTGCCAATTCTTGTTGTTGTTCTTGTGTTGGTTAAAGGGCTAGGAAATTGAAGCCGATAATTGTTGATCCAGGGCTTTATCTTTCTGAGAAAACTGCCATGTTCTATGCCACCCAAAAGAGGGAATTGCCTAATGCCTTCCAGTTGTTTACAGGTAGACCTTCTTCATTACTCGTCTTTTGAATGCTTGATTATCTGTGGAGCTTCAATAGCTCGTATGGATTATAGTTCTAACTTGGAATAGTGCAAATTTGGTTATATAGTAAAGATATTGCAGTTTTAGTGGGAATTATGGGTCCTTTCCAAGAAGATTGTAAACTCCATAGGTATTGTAAATTATAGGTTTTACTCTTTACAAACTCCTAATTCTCAAATACTAAACCTTCCAACCAAAGAACTAGGTGCCATAGATTGCCTAAAATCATAGATCTTGAGACAAAGACAAGTTCCATTAGTGTAAGAGTTGAACACTCCATAAGATAGGATGGTCAATTCTACTTGAATGTTCTTTGGAAATGGCATGCAACTCAAAGATACCAGTTGCAAAAATCTCGGTTAAGCTTGAAAGGAAAAGATGAAAGGCTCAGGCTAAATTTATTTACGATAATCTAATATGTATAATTCTCACCGAGGATGGATAGTGTAACAGCTCTTGCAGATATTGTCTTCTTTGAGCTTTCCCTTTCGGGCTTCTCCACGAGGTTTTTAAAATATCTCTGCTAGGGAGAGGTTTCCACACCCTTGTAAAGAAGGTTTAGTTGTTCTTCTCTCCGACTGATGTGGGATCTCACAAACCACTTTTCATTGGGGCCCAGCGTTCTCGCTGACACTCGTTCCTCTCTCCAATCGATGTGAGATCTCACAGGTAGAATCCTTTATAGATAACTTAAATACATGGCAAAATATTGTAAGTGGCAAAGTGGTCTTGCTCCTATGATTGAGTCTTTCATCTCTTCGTAAAGAAAGAACAAAAAAGATGAACTATGGATCGTACTTTGAAGTTATTGGCCATTCATATGAAAATGGTGGTGGCTCTGATGAGAAGCCGTATATGTAGTTTTAGATCTGTTATTTAGCTTCTTTCTAGTTGCTAATGTCAATATGGGGAGAGTATTTTTGTAATTCTCTGACTTAGAAATGGAAACTCCCTTGACTTGGAAATGGCCTCCTTTTATGATTTTCCCCCGACACGGAACCGAACTGGGCACCTCGTGGTTTTTCAACCCCTACATTTGTTGTACTAAAAAAGAACGGCCTCCTCGTGATGCTATTGTCATTGCCGTTTTGATAAAATGTTGTAATATCTCAGTTGGTATTATGTTTTTTCAATTTTATGCTATCTAATAGTAACTGCTAGCTTGGATATTGAATTCAACATAAATGTTGATATCTAGTTACGCATGTTGGGTTTGAACTTCAATGTTTCCTGAAGAAGCTCTCTTATCATCTGGAACTGATAAGAGATCTTCTCCCACCGTTCTCTTATGCAGGTTCGTCTCTTTCAATCGTGAGTCGACAGGTTGTCGAGTTCTGCGTTCTCGGAACAGATAATCTTCCCAGGACTCTTTTGATGTACTTCTCAAATACTCAATCTGGCCACATGAACTATTTTCCAACCGTCCTCTGTAATTCTCACCAGTTCAACAAGACGGTCCTTAACGACAACCTACTATACGCCATATTTGACAAGCCTCCCAAAGAACAGCCCCAGTTCCTTGGCCCCTCTGATTACGATCTCATGATCGAGAGTGGAGCAGCCTTTGCAACAAGATTTCAGTCGAACGATCCAGTACTCAACCGAATCGATACTGAGATCTTGAACCGTGGCCCCGGACACATCGTGCCGGGTGGGTGGTGTTTGGGGGAGCCGGGGAATGATACATGTCTAGTATGGGGAGATGCAGATGTAGTTAGACCTGGCTCAGGAGCAAGAAGACTTGAAAAACGGATTGTTGGGTTGCTTTCAAATGGTACATTTAGAAGGAATAGGTGTGTAGTTGTTGAATGATTCTTAAGGACTGAATATCCCCAAAAGAGAGCAAAAGGGAGTGCCAATCCTTATCTCCATTCATTCTTTAGGGTGTTTTAGGTAATTTAGCTGTTACCATTATCCTTTCCGGAATTTAGATTTGTATCATTAAAAATGACGTCTTAGTTATATATATAGCATAATGAATATTATGCAGAGATCATGGCTGTCATAATTTTGCCATTAATGATTTTTTTTTTTTCTTTTCTTGCAATCCTTATTATCTATATTTGGATGGTGTGAAGGAAAACAAATAAATTTGTAATTTGTTGTAATTAATCTGAACTCTATAATCTATACTCTATAGCATAAAATATGGATTTTGTAAGCCTTCGAGTAATAAATGTTAAAATAATTTTTTTTTTCTCGAGCTTTTAATTGCAAATTGAGGCAAATTCTGAATACTAGATATGATTTCAAAATAACATGAGTCGGGTTTAGCTAGTGAGATGATGGCATCGTCGAGAGGGAAATAACTTGGATCACCAACTAAGGCTCCTAAATGACAGTTTAGGATAAGCTTCATCGTCGAGAGGGAAATAGCTTGGATCGCCAGCTAAGGCTCCTAAAGGACGTTAAGTGATAAAAGAGGTAGGGGTCCAAAGACAATTAGGAGGTTTGTCTAGAAGTAGCCACCCTTGAAAGAGCTCTTGTGCCAAAGATGAACAAGGCTATCTACCAAAACTGTGGGATGCAAAAATGTATCAGTAGGAGAGCGTTACAGGGTCAAGCGATCTGCCAAAACTGTGGGATGCAAAAAAATGTATCATAGGAGAGCGTTACAGAGTCAATGTGAGACGAGGTGTTAGACTAAAATCAATCTAGATCAATTGTCGCATCCATCTAGATCAACATTAATTTTTTTTAATGTCTTCAAAATCTATGTATAAAAAAAAAAAATAGAAACGATGAACTTTCTTTAAGAGGAATGGCGACTTAGACGACTTAGACGCCCCATCTTACGTAGATGAGGGAACTCATTCAATAGAATCGAATAACCTATATGGGTGGAAGGAGATTGAATCATTTTCATCAATAACGTCTTATTTTGTGACCTATTTTCAAGACGACCTATTTTCAAGGGTCTCGAGAGACTTCGAGCAACACATCGTTCTTGTCAAGGCACCCGACCACTGGTTCATGCATCCATTCAATCTTTTTGTGTGTATACACAATAAAGAGAAATCAGAAAAATAGAAACCACAGAAGAGCAATGGCTATCAATATAACAGAAAATGTAATTTTATTGGCAAAAATCTGAATTTCACTACGAACCATCAGGGGAAAAAATTTGTTCACGACAAGCACACGAAATAATAATTATGAAGCTTGAGAATAATGAAAAGGATTATATCATA